CCTTCATAAACCACATCTACGCCAACACAGATATGCCGCCTGGTTAAATGAACTGTCCCCTGGCAGTGAATTTCAGACCACTCCCCAGGGTGACTGCATGGGCCTGGCAGTTACTTCACCTGTCTGAGTGGCACCAGCCAGGCTGCAAAGGTGCCCTGGCCTTTGGCCAGTGACATTTGGACCTGCCTGCCTGAATGCCAGTCTTTTCATAAGCGCTGGGCTGCCCGATGCCAATCATTGCTCGAGGTGGCTGATCGGCATGCTGAAACGCGTGCCTGCAGAGCTCCTCCAGACAGGAGGGGACGGATCGTGTTGACCCAGCATCATCTGTCTGGCTGGACGTTCATTTTTCTTCTGCTTGTCTCACTCCTGCTCATTGCTCAGGATGCGTCCCAGGGTTCTTTGCTCCGGCAGGCTCTTTCTACTCTGCCTCCTCAAGGCGACTGAATGTCAGTGCTGGCCTTAGCTTCCATCTCAGTGACACACTCACTTATTCACTCCATCTGTTCATTCATTCTGCTCCTCCCCCCGCCAAACCCATAAGCAATTGCTGGGCATCTACCCCGTGCCTTGCTCTTGGAGATTTCTAGGTACAATTCTCCATAAACGGGTTGCTTTTCCACCCAGAAAGAGGTGACAACACAACCAGGGTGTTCAGAGATTTATTTATATTGTAATCGTCATCTGTGCTGTTCCAGCTGGGGGGTTGTGGCTGCGGGCTTAGGGCTGGGTGGGGTGGGGGTTGGCTGTTATGTATTTGTCCAGGCCTGTCACCTAGTCTTGTTCCCAGATTTCTAACCATCCCTGCATCCTTCCCACCTCTGCCGCAAACCACATACATCCTTGCGTCCGTGGTTCTTGCTGCCCCTGCAGCCGGGATCAGCCAGTGCTCTGCCAACTCTTGACCCAGGCGTCTGTTGCTCGGCTCTTCAAATCAGAGCTGCTTTTAGGCCACCCTGGGAGGGTCTGGCCATTCAGGATAGCACCCGGAGGTCTCCTCTTTCTCTGAGTGCACGGCCTTCAACCTTGGGCTGAGGCGGTGCCATTCCTGGGCACCCTGCGACAGCATCAATTCCGGCTGGGGCTTGCCGCGTGCTGTGCCTCCCCCTGCCTCAGAGGTTCTTCCTTCCTCCCTGGCTGTGTAAGAGAGAAGCAGTCAGCCTTGTCTCGCCTCTTTGCCTGGGAGCTGCGATTCCCTGTGCAGAATGCTCCGGGGGCTTTCTCAGGATCCTTCTCATCAGGACCCTTTTGCCAAAGGAGACTCCTGCAGTCCTCCTTGGACATCCCGGGCTCGTGGAGATGCTAAGGCAAATGAGACCCCCTCTGTGGCCCCTGCTTCTCTATACTGTTGGGGAACTTACCTTCACAGTAATCAACATCCCATCTTAATTGCTTTTGTTTATGGTCCAATAAACGCATCGTTTTGGCAACACCAGCTCACAGCAATATCTTAAATCACCCAAGCCTGCCCACTTTCCTTTCTGTACCCTGGCTGGTGTCTGATGAGCGCTTAGATTTTTAACCATTTATTTCCTCTGCCTGACAGGGAATGAGGAACATAAAGCTGTTGGGAACAGTAAAGAAGGGGGAACGCCGGAGACCAGGGAACCATAAGAGTAGCGCCGTGTACGAGGCCAATATAGAAGCGATGAGTTTTTAATATACGGCGTGTGTAATACATTCGAATTTCTAATAAAGTCAATTATTGTTGAATCCGTTATTTCTCAATTTTCCACCTCGGCTCAGACAAAAGCAGATCTGGAGCTATTCAGAAGAAAAAAAAATTATATTATAGTAATTGCCAAAGCAGCAGCTGTCAAAAAATTGTCTAATAAGTGCCCGTTTAACTCATCCCCCCTCCCAGGAACCGGGGGTAATGTTGGGAACAGTGCCTGCCGTAAATATGATCTAAGACAAAGCGGAATCTTTGGCCTTGATTTGAGCAATGATCTTGCTCTTTGCTAATTTGTTTTTTTCCTGTTAATATTCCAGTTGTCATTCTGTAGGCAGCAGCGAGATGGAGAAGGAGGGTCACTGGGGATGTGTACTCTTAGTGACATTGCAGTTTATTAACGTGTGAACCTGTCCGCGTTGTTTAACCTCTCTGAACCTGTCCACGCCGCTCCACTTCTCTGCGCTTCGGTTTCCTTATTAGTTTAATGAGGGAGCTTGTTCCCAGACCTGACTTATCTCCAGAATCATTTATCTTAAATTGATTTCTATTTGTAGCACACCACGGCTAATTGGAAAATACTTCCAAGTATCATTATGCTATTGCTATTTTTAATTATAGGGGAATATTAGTTATCTATTGATGCATAACAATATTATCACAAATCTAGTGGCTTTAAAACAACATGCCTTTATTACCTTTATTGTATCAGTTTCTGTGGGTCAGGGGTTCATGCAAAGCTTGGCTGAGTGTTCTGCTTCATGGTCTTCCAAGGCAACAAAGTGTTAGATGGGGCCACGTTCTCATCTGAGGCTGGACTGGGGAAGGCTATGTTTCCAAGCTCCAGTGCTTGTTGGCAGAATTCAGTTCCTTTCAGCCCGTTGGACTGAGGGCCTCGGTTCCTTGCTGGTTGTGAGTGAGAGGCCACCCTCAGTTCTTAGATAGTTCTTGGCCAGAGACTGGCCTCTGTTCCACATGGGCCTCCCCAGTGTGACTGTCTGCTTCATGAAAGCCAGCACGGGAGGGAATCTACAAGACGGGCATTACAGTCTTACGCAACTTAATCGTGGAGGCAGCATCCTGTCACCTTTGCTGTGTTCCATTGGTCAGTGTCAAGTCACAGGCCCCACTCACACTCAGAGGAGGGAGTTACACAGTGGTGTGAACACCAGAAGGAGGAGCCACGTGGCCCACTCTTGAGTCTTCCCACCACAAAGAGTAACACACAATAGGTTTAAAAAGCAGAACGTAGAGAAAGCTGTAAAGTGTAAGGTTACACTGTTCTTTCTTCCACTCTCTTAGCACCATTTCTGTGTTAAGCTTTGGTTAGTTGTTGTATCAGTCTCCTAAAGCTTCTATAACAAATTACCATGAACTGGGTGGCGTGAAGCCACAGAAATTTATTCTCTTACAATTCTGGAGGCTGGAGTATGAAATCAAGGTGTCGGCAGGACCACACTCGCTCCAAGGCTCCAGGGAAGAGTTCCTTCTTGCCTCTCCCTAGCTTCTGCTCGCTCCAAGCAATCTCTGGTCCTTGGTTTGTAGCTATATCACTCCGATCTCTGCCTCTTTTGTTACACGGCTTCTTCCCTGATTGTCTCTGTGTTTGCTTTTACCCTTCTAAATAAGACACCAATCCTTGAATTTAAGACCTACCCATATCCAGCATGACCTCGTCTTAACTAGTTACATCTGCAAAGACCTTACTTCCAAATAAGGTCCCATTCTGAGGTTCTGGGTAGACATGACTATTTTGTGGGACACCATTCATTCCACTACAATTATTTTTTCCTCTGGCATTTGCCATCCTAACACTAAATCGTTTCTGTAAACCACTTTGATGACCTCTCCACTGCAGGAGGTGAGCACTGTCAGGGGGAGCAGAAGGAAGTGGGGACGAGTCGCTGTTCCTTCACTAGTCATGTGACCGGGGGTGACACTTAGTTTCTCTCTGCCTCAGATTCCTCACCTGTAGAATGGTCATCCTCATAATAATTTTATTCAACTCTTGCAGTTGTTAGATGACTAACGAGATAATATATGTTGAGCTCTTAGAACAGCACGGGACTGGAAATATCAGCCATCATTGTTTACCTCTTGCCTCACCTTCCTTCCCCATGACCCGCTTTCTGGCATTTGTAAACTTTGTGTTTATTATTTGTTTTGTTATTTTATATCACATTTAAGTTAAAGCATTAATTATTCATTATAATTGCAATTAATTATTAATATAACATAAATTTTAAGTACAATACATAGAAAAATGTACTTGTGTAATTGTAATTAATGAGAAATTAAGTAACTAATACATTAAAGTAAATTAAAATAGTTTAATAATGAAATTATTTAAAATTTTATATTTATGCGAAAAACTATCGCTTAATCTATTTTGCTTATACAGTATCTGGTTACTTCCATCTCAGAAGAAGAAATGTACACTCCCCTTCCTCCCCCTGCTCCCCATTTGGTCAGCTATACCTTTATTTTTTCTCTTTCAAGTTATTTTATTTATTCTCATTTAGTGTTCTGTGTTTTAAGCAGCTAATTTTATAATTGCCTTTGTATTGAAAATCAACTATCCTTCAATATTTTAGTATTGTAACAATAACAGTAATGACCCGTGCTATTGGCACGTTTACTGTAAGTCCATTGCCATTCCACATGCCCTGCATACATTAGCTCGTTTAATCTCCGTAGCAGTCCTGCGAGGTAGGTGACGTTTACAGAGGACAGAACTGAGGCACAGCGAGGTGACGGAGCTTTTCCGAGGTCAGAGAGCAAGCAGGTGGCAGAGGCAGAGGTGGGCCCAGCCCGCGGCCCGGGGCTCCAGCCAGCGCCAGTGTGCTCCGCCAGGACCCGCAGGGCGGCGCGGGCTGGGCCTCTACACTCGGTGTGGGGAAATCACGGAAGCTTGCCCTCTCTGCTCAAACCCAGTGAATTCCTCAAAAACAGCCGGCATGTTAGCTTTCCCTAGTCTTCCAGTGCCTCTCATGTATATGCTTTTTTGCTTTGTTGCTTTCTTTTTCTTCTAAATGACAAATAAAAAATCAATGTCTTTGTTTTCCTTTTAAGAGGTTGCAGCTTCTTCATCATACAAATGAGACAGAGGCTTCCCTTCCCTCTTAAAATCTTATTTCCGGCACCTGTCGCCTTCCTGTCCCCATTTGGGCCGATTGCTTTTTGCATTCTTGTCATCCTGAGATTTCACCGACGCCCTCCTGGGCTTAGTTTCAGCTTTGCCTTGGATTTCCTTGACTCCTTGTCTGTTTTCTTGGATTCCTTTTGCATTTGACTGAAGTATATTTTCAATTTTGTTGCTGTTTTGCAGAAAATATCCTTCTCAGAAACGTCAGTGTCCTTTACGTATGCTGTCTGGTGTGCGATTGAAAGACACGTCCCTCAGAGGGTGACAACTATGTGCGCCTGATTACTGTCCCACTGAAGATGACGCCTGCTTCTGCCCAGGCTCTCGGGATCTCCCCTCCACCTCTGCTCTTTGCTTGCTCGCCAGGGTAAGGGGTGAGAGTTTTCGGTTTATCACATCCTCTGTGGCACTCCAAATGACTGCCATTCTGAAGACCTGACTCCTTTTATTTCTATGATTATTGGCTTGGGAAGCTTTATTTTTTCAATGTCAGTTCCTGGTTTGCCCCCAGATCTAGGATGGGGCTCAAGAATTTGGATCCTAACATGATTCCAAAATGGCTTTATTGTCCCGGCCGGTGTGGCTCAGTGTGGCGGGAGTGAACTCGTCTGGGTCCTGCAGGCTCTCTGGCTGGGCTCAGGGCGGCCCAGCAGACCGCATCTCCTGCAGTGACCCAGCTGCAGGAAATATTTGTCCTTGGGTGCCATTTCTGCTGAATCTTTCCTTCATATTACCTGCTTCTTGGTCCCTGAAGGTAGATGTCTGCCCAAGACAGAGCCGTCTGTTTTAATTTGTCCCCTTGCCTTCTCCTGTTCCTATTACATTTGCTGACTTAAGTATCAAATCTGGCTTGGTGTTCCCAGTCTCTAAAAAGCAGTGCCTCCTCCAACGGCTCTATAAATCATTATTATTAATAGCAGGGATAATAATGATAATACTAAGTGGCACTCAGGTAAAATATTCCATTACAAGATGCTTTCAGAAATAGTACCTCTGGGCTGACGGTTTATATAGGAAACACGAAAACTGATTTAAAAAGATGACTGTTCTATCCAAAATGTGTTTGCTTTTCTGGGTTGAATTCATTTGTTTGATTGAAAGTTTCATAAGGAAGGTGTGTGCTGGAGAGGCCTGGGATTGTGGAAATAAGCGCGGCGCTGAGCTTGAAATAGTTCGTTGGTAACCCACATATTTATTCTACTTTAGGCATTGCCTCTGCTCTGTCTATATGACTTTCCTTTTCCAAAATAAGCCAGATCTGGCTACATTTCTTGAAACACCGGTGGAATCACGAGGGCTTCCTGGGTTCCAGTCCCTATTTGTCCCCAAAGAATGATGGTGGTTCCAGGCAAGTGATTTAACATCACAGGGGCTCCATGTTCTTATCTATAAAATGGGTGTTTAAAATTGACCTGGCAAGGTTGCTAGCAGTACCTACCAGTTCCCAGCACATAGGATTAGCATTCCAGAATGGAAGGTGTTGTTGTTGTTATTATTATTGAAATTGTTTTTATGTACAACAGGTACTGCAAATAAGAATAACTTGGGGAATAGAATTTGAATTTAATCATATTTGCATAAACGTGCACACAGGTAGTATGTATGCAGCTGGCTGGATTTTCACATGGTAAACACACCCAACAGAACTTGGAACTGAGACTCCAGAACTTGCCCTAGGGGTCCCTGTGTGTCCTGGATCACTAACTGCAACCTACCCCCACCAAAGTGTAACCCATATTATAACTTCTGACAGCATCAAATGGTTATGCCTAGTTTTGAACTTTATAAGTGGAATGATACAATATACATTTGTTTTTGTAAAAATAGTTTTATTGATTTCTTAAAAAGAGAGAGAGGAAGGGAGGAGAGAGAAATACTGATATGAGAGAGAAACATCGATCAGCTGCCTCCTGCATGCCCTCTACTGGAAATAGAGCCCATAACCTGGAGCTTGTGTCCTGACCCGGAATTCAGCCAGCAACCTCTCGAGCCACACCAGCCAGGCCCAATAGACATTCTTTTGTTTGTTTGTGTGGTGGCTGTATGGGGGTTTCTGGTTTCTTCCACTCGGCATTATGTTTGTGCCTGTGATTCACCCACACCGATCGTTCTGTTGGAGGTCTTTCCCTCTCTGAGGCATATGGTATTCTGTATGTCATGGGTGCTCCATTATGGAGAGGGCCATTGTAAGTGTTCCAGTACGTTCCTTTAGGTGAATGTAAGGGGCTAACCGTCTTCATTCTAATAATCGAGCAAGCCAGGGTGGTTTTCCTCACCCTCTTTTTCTCCATCCAGCCGATCTCCAAGGCCCCTCAATCCACCCCCTCAGTATCCGAGGTCCAACCCTGCCGTCTGTTGCCTGCACTATTGCAGTAGCTTTTTTCCTTGCCGTAGTTCTCATCTCTCCCAGCTGAACTTCAGCTGCCCCTGAATTGTCTTCCAGAAATACGCATCCCATTGTATCACTTGCCTGCTCAAAACTTTCACCCTCAATGCTACCTGAAATAAAACAACACAATACAGCTCTAAGCTCCTTGTACAATCAGGAGGGACCTTGAACCAGCTCCTGCCAGCCCTTCCCTCTGCATCACCCACTGCCTCGCAGGGTGCTGGTGCCATATTGCATTAGCCCCTTGGTGCCCCAGTGCTGTCTCAGCCTGGCATCACCTTCCTCCCTTCCTGTCGATATTGAGTTTCTTCTCATGGTGGAAGACCAGCCCAGGGCCGTCATGTTCCCACAGCACTTCTTGCTGTAGACTCCATGAAGCCTAACCCGACATCCTGGGTGGGACTCAGGTTGCCCAGCCTTGTCTGTCCGGGCCTGATCTATTGCGTGCTGGGTCTAAGATCCTGGCTGACTGCCCTCCCCATTGCTCAGTCCTCTTGTATCCTTGCTCTAACGATGAGGCCACTTCCTTGTACTCTCAGAAACTGTCCCCTCATCCTCATTAAAGAAGAGTGTGTTGTAGAGCAAGCTCTTGTCAAACAAATTCCCTATGATTGGGGGTAGGCGGACCACACTTCTTGTTTACTCTCATTATTTTAGAATTACTAATCATAAATTAAAAGTAACTTTTATTTGTATAATTAACACCCCCTCCCAGGCAAGGTGATTGCATGAGTAAAATCTGCTTTTTACTCAGTAAGAAGCCATTCCATTTTCAATAAGACCCCAGGGTATTAGTTGGAGCCTGACAGGTGGAATTTGGTCCATGTAGCAGGGAATGTCCTGAAAGGGCTGGAGTGAGGAAAAATCAGAGCTCTCCCCTGCCAGTCTTTTGGACTGACATTCGCTCCTCTTCAAAATCATTCCTGCTTCTTGGGACCCCGCAGCCCTGCGCAGCGCCTTTTTCTACCTGACATGCAGCAGTTACCTGTACATATAGGAGTCCTCCTCACTTGTCCTCCCTGTCCTCCAGACCATTACCCTCAGTACCTGGCACCCACCCAGCACACAGTAGGTCCTCCATACGTGCTCGCTGATTGAGTGAAGGAATGTCTTGATTTCTTTTTAAAAAAATATTTTTATTGATTTTTAGAGAGAGAGGAAGGGAGAGGGGCAGAGAAAGAGAAACATCTATGGGAAAGTGGACTATAAATTGCCTGCCTCCTACTGGGGACTGAGCCCGAAACCGGGGCATGCAGCCTGACCTGGAATCAAACCGGCAACCTTTTGGTGAATGGGATGATGCCCAACCAATCGAGCCACACCGCCCAGCGCTTGATTTCATTTTTGAGTGGGCAATTAGAAGTCCTTTGCCCTGGGCAAATTGCTTCAATGTTTACTTTTCTGGTTTGCAAATTGAAGGAAGAAATTTTAGTTGATTCTACAAGCCAATATTTATTAATTTCTAAAGCATATCTGCAGATCTCTTAAGGACATTCAAATTGGCAACATATGTTAAGCTGACTAGGACCCATGCCCTACCCTGGCTTTGTGTGCTTTATGACTGCTGCCTCTGGGTCAGGGTTATGGTGGATTCTCTGAATTTGTTACCAGCTTTCACCCTCATTCTCTGTGTGTACAGTTCAAGGAAAACCCCAATTCTCAACAAATATACAAACAAACAGACCCCTCTCCCAAGGCTGGTGAGGAGTGAAGTACAATGGTTGGATTTAGAATAACATAAGGGTAAGTTTTATTATACGAACCAATAGCAACATTAGTAGGGTTTTAATCAGTAGCCCCCTCATATTAAGTTGACATTAAAGCATCTTATCAAACAAATTCTCATTTGACACCTGTACTGAGCACTGGGAGCACAGTGGTAAACAAGAACCTCTTTCTTTATTCTCACGGAACTTACGTATCTCCTGGGGGAAGCCAGACAAAACAGGAAAAAGGCACGTAAACAAGCAAATGACTTAAAGTGGTTCCAAAGTTCATTGATTTCTAAGACACATTTCTTTTCACCTTTTAATATCGTTGAAAATGTGATGTCCTAAAATGGGAATGTGTGTTTAATATATTGCTTTTCCCCCGGAGAAGTCATTCAGTTGATGCTTTGCCTTCCGATCGATGGTGTCCGGGATGGAGGCAGTGTGGCAATAATGAAAGCCCGCAGCTATTGAGCGCGAAGTGTGAGTCGGGGCTGAGCTCGGGGCGAGTGGTGCTTTGTCTCTGGCGGTCCGAGCAGCAGCCGGGGAAGCGCGCAGAAGCCTCTCCACGGTGCGGGAGAGGGGCGTGCATCGCAGGGAGGCGAGGCGCCAGGTTTAGTGCTGGAGCCCTGCAGGGGCCAGGATTTGAACCCCGGCTCGTCTGAGTGCTCTCCTAGCCACTGCGTTACTCTGCCTCCTTCTCCCCCCTTCCCAGTCTCCCCCTGCCCCTCCAGTGCCTTCTCCAGCTAGCTGGTGCAAAGCAATCGATGCTGTCAGGGTTTCCCAGGTGCTCCTAGCATAGCTCCGTGGTTTCCATATCGCCAGGAGGTACATCCAGAGAGTTCATTGACATGCATATAGAAACACCTACAGAGACGACACCCACAGAGCCTTATCCCCCAGCGAATCTGGAAGCCCCGATTGGGGCCCACCTGGGTCAGTGATCTTGAAGTGCCTCGGCTTGCTCAGGTGAGTACTCAGAAAAGAGATGCAAAGCAACCTCTGTGCTACCTGGAGGTCCTTCCTTTAGGAGGATGTTCTGGTAACAAAGACAGAAACCTCTGCGTCTTACCGGAGGGTAGAGTTTGCCTGAGAGAAGGTACTGGAGATAGCTTCTAAAGCACGCCAACCCCAGGGGGTAAGTG